GGTTGTGCCGACCCAGGTGTAGGACCTTGTCACTGTAATTGATTTTGAGTGTGGCGAGTTTGTTGTTTTTCAAGCACACAAAAAAATATTTTACTGTTAACTTTCTTAACATCATTTAGTAGACTATTTAAAGACAGCTTTGCAAATATATCCAGGGTTTGGTGGAATCTCTGAGGGACTAGATTTTGCTTTTGTAATTATCTTGTACAGTAAAAGTAGAATTTCTTCAGATAACACATTTCAGAGGGAGCTTATTCTCATGGACTTCCAGCCTCAGAGTGATCAGCAGGCACTCTGCCTAAGACTCTAGCCATTGCAAGGAGAAATTTTGGAGATGGGAGGGTTTACCATGACCATCATGGTGCAGAAAATTGCACAGTTCTACATCTGTCAAGGAAATGAGTGAGGCAAGTGAAATGAAAGGATAAAAATTCTCTGGATCTGCTGTGGAAGAGAAGACCAGTTCCTGTCTTTACTGTTTTGAATTTGAGACATCTTCTGCCTCTCTCTTAAACGCCACCCTCAGTCGTTTAAAACTGTAGGTGACCATGACAATTATGTGATGCTTTTGTGCCTTCTGGATGTCCATTTCACTCCTCACACTTACGGAGCTGAAGTTTTCTGCTGGGCTGCAGCATCAAGCGACATCTCTTCCTTTACAGGGGAAAAAAATCAGATGACAAGTGGTGTGTTTCAGGCCTCTATATGGAGGTTTCTGTTGGTGTTTAACACAATGTAGCTTGTGTAGTGAGCACAGAATTGTGGGTTTGGAAGCCTTGAGTTCCTCTTGCTTTTGTTTTGAGGGGTTTTTTTTTGTCACAGTGTAGTTTTGAACGTATCTGTTTCTGAGATTTGGTGATGAATCATTCTGGTAAATTCTCAGCTTTGCATCACTTGACAGTGATCATTAACTTGAGTGATTGCTGACTTCCACTACAGGTTATTTATGCCACCAGAAGTTCTTTCAGTAGTTTTAGTTGAATACAGTACCTTTTAATTTACATCTGAAACAGGCTGTGTTGTTGTATGAACTGCAGTTGGTGTTTAAATACCATTGGTTAAATTTGTGCTTAAAATCATATATAGATTATGAAAAAGAATCTAGGTGTTTCTACTGTTTATGTTCTCTGATCGAGTCTGACTGAAATGAACTTGTAGTCTGGTGGTGGTTTACTGCTGTGCTTGTCCACTTTGTAGTTTAGTGGGCATTTAAGAGTTTCTTTGAAAGTTCCTGTTCACTTTTACCATGTAAGCACCATTACTAACTATCTTGCTTATTTCTCAGGGAGTTCAGTGCCTGTGACCAGTAGCAGTGTTCCTGCATTTTCTGCTGCTTCTGGGGGATCTGGAGGATTTCTGGATTTAGACAAGTTCAAGAAGCCTGAAGGAAGCTGGGATTGTGAGGTCTGCTTGGTCCAAAACACAGCAGAAGCCACAAAATGTGTAGCTTGTGAAAGTGCAAAGCCAGGCACCAAAGTAGAACTCAAAGGTAATACTTAATGAAATAAATAAATTTTAGAAAGGCACATTCTGCTGTTTATTTTTTTCTTTAGGTTTTCTGGGTTTGTTTTGGGGGTTTTTTTGTGTGTATGTGTGGCGGTTGGTTTTGGGTTTTTTCGTGGGTTGTTTTTTGGGTGGTTTTGTTGGTGGGTTTTTTTTTTGTGTGGGTTGGTTTAAGTGCAATTATTTCTCCTTTGAGGTACAGCAAAATTTCATTTTTTGTCTAGGATATTGCTTAAGTCAGGTAATGTGCCTGTGTTTCCACCCTTTGCCAGAAAAAGATGATACTTTTTAGAGAAAAGGCTGTATTAATGACATAGTTGTTCTATGCAAGCCTTATGTGTTGTTCATTTGGAGTTTAGGCTAAAAGCATGATCTTTCAAAGAATTTAGCAGCATACTTTTCACAGCCAGGTGGTGGACAGAGGACTGCCATTGCGAGAAGGTGTGTGTAGAGTGGAAGTGTGGAGTTTTATTTGTTTTGTGTTTGGGGAGTTTATTTGGTTGGTTTTGTTTGGGATTTTTAAACAGTTTTGACCCTGAGAAGTTCAGGACTATGTTCCAAGCCATGTAGCTAAAGCCTGCGTGTATTATATCTTATATTGCAAACTTGACATTATTGCATATTTCTGCAGGCTTTGGTACTGCTGCTGTGTCCACAAATGCTCCAGTGCCATCATTTACATTCGGTGTCCCGTCATCCTCCTCTGAATCTTCTCATACAATAAGTAGCACAGGAAATTTTAAGTTTGGAGAACAAGGGAGCTTCAAGTTCGGCATTGCATCTGAATCTGCATCCTCCAACACTATGACTGGGGGATTTAAGTTTCCTACTGGTTCAGGGGGCTTCAAATTTGGAGTTTCTTCCTCAGACTCTAAATCAGAAGACAGTAAAAAAGAAAATAAAAGTAACAGTTTTACTTTTGGACTTCCATCTACAAGCAGCCAGGCTCCTTCAACATTTCAGTTTGGGACAGCGAGCCTGGGACAGCAGGAAAAGAAAGAGGAACCAGTGTTGGGAGGCTTTGGTTTTGGCACAAGTTCTACTTCTTCCATAGCTACCAATGAGAATAAAACCGGGGTTGGTGGCTTCGCTTTTGGAACTGTGGCAGAAAAGGAGGTAGCTTCACCTGCTTTTGCATTTAAGAAGTCAGATGAAAAAAAAGATGAAACACTTCCGACGAAGGGAGGATTCTCTTTTGGCAGTGGGGAGTCTGCACCTGCCTCACAGTTTGTTTTGGGAAGGACAGAAGAGAAACAGGACTCTCTCACTCCTGCCGCTCCATTAGCATTTGGAAAGAAAGCTGACAATGAAGAGTTAAAGACACAACCTATCTTTTCAGCTGGCACGGCTGAGCATACCAAAGAGGAGAGCACAGCAAAACCTATATTCAATTTTAGTTTTGTTAAACCATCGGAGAAGGAAAGTGAGCAGGCAAAGCCATCTTTTGCATTTGGGGCACAAACCAGTACTTCAGGTAAGTAGAACATCTTTTGACTTTGCTTGTCTGCTGTTCATCAAACAATTCCTCTGAGGCCATACTGGACAAAATCTATGGGACTTGATATATATCATGTATTAGAGCTTTAGAGAAGGCTTATGGTACCTGCAGCCTGTCTTTAGTTCTGGTTGTTGATGTGTAGACAATATGTAGCAATTCCTTTTTAGACTTCAGTGAGTTTTAATGCTAGGTTTAGACAAAAAAATTGCCACAATTTAAGGAACCTGCATCACTTCTTGTATGAGCACAGAAGTTGTATTGTCTCTGTAGTATTCACTCAGCTGGTGATAAAATGTACAGAATGGTGCAGTATGGAGGCCTCATACTAGTGTTGGTTTTCATAGTGAAAAGGAATGAGAGAGGGAATATCTTACTCCCATATACTTGCAGCTATGCTACAGGGTATACTGCAGTTTCTGTACTGCTACAGAGGTATAAAGGTCGCTTCATAGATATTACACAGTTTTGTACTCCTTTAATTTGCTGAAAGTCTGCAGTGGTGGATTAAAGTTCTTCAGTGATGATCAACTGTGTGGAAAAATTCTGGTTGTTAAATTCCATTTGCATGAGTTGGCAACTGTGTTTCAGAGAACAGAATTAGTTTCTTATTTCTAAAGTGATACAGAAAGGGATATCAGTAAGTAACCCCGAATAAAAGCAATACGTAAGGTTATGCTGATTTTAGTCACAGTATTCCTACAGTGATTTGTGGACTGTGGGCTTTGTGGAGGGGAGGTGGTGGTGTGTGATTTGGATTGGGTTTTTTTTCCTGCCAGGTCGAGTTCTGGAGTTTGGTTTAGGTGTGGAAATTAGATGAAGCACCTTGTGCAAAAAGGCAGTTTTAACAAGGATTCTTAAGAATGGGATAGTCCCTTGAAAATGGCATAGATGAAAAGGGGCCATAACTGTTGGGGAAAAAAAGATAGTGGGAAACTGAAAACAAGATCACAAATTAATAATGTGAATGGGACCAGTAGCTTAGGGGAAGCTGAAGAATGACTAGCTTTTTAAAAGGCAGCTCTATTTTAAGTGTGTAAAACTGCACTCAGTACTTCATAACAACGGTCTTCATGGTGGGTTGTTCTCTGTTGCTCCTAAAAGCAGGTCTTGCAGGTGCTGAAGTACAATCTAGGCTGGAGGATGGGAAGCTTTGCCTGGCTTAAACCTGTAGGCACAGGGCTGTATTTTCAAACAAACTACAAATGAAACTGTATCACTGTGTTTTTCAATACTCCATTGAGCAAAGCCATAAAACTGTTACAGGGGATTGATGATGATGCTCTAAGAACATCTGAAATATTCGTGCTTGAAGAGTTCAGAAGTACTGGTTAATACTGACTGGTTCAGGTAATGACAGCCCATGCTTAGTGTTTGTAACCAGTGAAGCCTAGACTACAGTGGAGTCCTTGTTCTTCACAATTCTTTCATTCTTTTAATTGTGGATGGCAGCAATCAGCACATTAAATCTGGAACTTACGTAAGCAGCAATAGCTAAGACAGTAGTTCAGGATTGCTCTTGTACAGTGACTGAAACAGGAGTCTGTTTGCTGTACTTCATTTGGCATTTCTGTGGTGGTTTATGTATTGTTCCTCTTTTCAGATCAAGGAGCAGCAAAGCCATCCTTCAGCTTCTTGAGCTCTAGTTCCTCCAGCACAGTCGTACCCACCACTTCAGCCAGTAGCAGCAATGTGTTTGGCAGCGCCATCTCCTCCTCGAATCCTCAGCCAGTTCCCGCTCCCTTCGTGTTTGGACAACCCAGCAACACTGTGAGCAGCTCTGTTTTTGGCAATTCTTCAGAATCTGCAGCCTCTCAGTCGTTTGGCTTCTCTCAAGAAAACAAACCAGCAACTACATCTTCCAGCACTGGCACAGGTCTTACTTCATTTCTGTTTGGCTCAGGAGCCACCAGTACCAATGCAGCAAATTCAGGCTTCACCTTCGGAGCCACAACCACATCGAGTTCTACAGGTATGTTTTATATAGATGCTCTTCTCATTTTTGCCATAACATAGTGGACCAAGGAAATACTGTTTCACTAATATTTTACTTTGGAGAATGTGTAGGCCAGATGTATGGGAGTAGAGAAAAATACTGAGTATTTGCATTCAACAATATAAATTGGGGCTCAGTTTTTCACAGTCTGTGGAATACAGTTTAGGAATGAACTGGCAGCAAAGGACAACCCTTTACTGGATTTCAATTTGTGTAGCAACTTTTCACCATAAGAATGATAGTTTCTTTCATTTCACTGTCAGTCCAGTGCTTACAGTTAGAAGTCAATGAATTACAACTTCCCCGGTTTCTCTTCCATACCTAAACCTCTCAACTGTTGTAAATAACGTCACTATTGGCAAAATCCTTCTTTCACAAGTATACGTAAACACATTACCACAATATGCAGTTGCTGCTGCTGAAGGATTGATTTCCAATATGCTTTATGGCCAGCACTTGTTAATTTTGTAGTAATTCAGAGAAGGCAGATGAGAATCTGTGAAGTTTCTTCACGTTTTGTGTTCGTTGCCCCACTGCATGAATTTAGCAGTATGACGCAAGACTAAATCATCTGCTCGTGTTCCTTCCTGCTAGCCTAGCTGTATGTGGCAAATAAGATTGAACCTGTGAAGAAGAGACTTCATCTAGTTTGATCTGATTGCTTAACCTTGTAATTCACAGAAATTAAATTTGCATGTTTTTTTGTATATCAGAACAGAGAGAAAACAGTCCTAAGTTATAATACCCAGCAGATCAATTTAACCTGCTTACAAATCAGTAACTTTCAGTAGGTGACACTGCATTCCAGACATCTTCACAAAGGATATTTATTTTTTTTATGCAGAACCCTATATTAACTTTTCATAGAATCACAGGATGGTTTGGGTTGGAAAGGACCTTACGATCATCCAGTTCCAACCCCCCTGCCTTGGGCAGGGACACATTAACCTTGACCAGGTTGCTCCAAGCCCCGTCCAACCTGGCCTTGAACACTGCCAGGGATGGGGCAGTCACAGCTTCTCCGGGCAGCCTCTCACAGTAAAAAACTTATTCCTTATATCTAACCTAAATCTCCCCTGTTCAAGTTTGCCCCTTGCCCTATCACTACAGTCCCTGATGAAGAGTCTCTCTCCAGCCTATCTGTCCATCTTCTTGGGAAGAAAAGCAGTCAGCCATTCCAAGATCAGGTGCAATAGAGGGTATTTTCTGTTGCACGAAGGCTGCTTAAATTGCATCAATGTGCTGTTTAAAATGTCCCTTCTGCATCGCAGATCTGCTGTGTACATTCACAGTCACTGTTCAGTCGTGTATTTTCGTTTCGTGATTTCTGCCGGCCATGCAGAACAGAAGCAGCTAAACAAATGAGCTGGTTGTTGATTTTACATAGGGAATTACTCTGCTAGACCAAGGTTTTAAGTACAGAGAGATCACTGCAAACTTGATTTAGCCTTCAAAGTTGATAATGATAAACATTTGGCCAGGGATGGGTGCAGTTGCTGACAAGAAAGATTGATGTCCTGATCCTGGTAAATCAGGAGCTGTATTTTACATGTTTGAAAAATACGATTTGAATGAATATTCTTTGTGTGTGATATAAACAGCTTTTAGTAAATACAAATTAAAATGTACTATCTGTAGGAATCTATTTCCAGAACATGAATGTTAACACAGTAATCTGAGGGGAGACAGCCTGTGTGTTTGAGATTTGATTATGTCTGACTCTCGTAAACATGGTGTTTCTTCTCATGTTACTTACAAAAGAGGTTTGATTCCTGTGGTGGTTGAGGCAGTATTTGTTTTATATACTCACACAATTAGTTTGAAATTCAGATGAGTGCTCAGTTACCAGACCATGGGGTCTTAGAACCTTTGATTTTAGATTCATTCTTGGGGGAGAAAATAAAAGCACATACTGACTGACGTTCCTCTTCTGTTCCCCCAGGGTCATCTGCTTCGTTTCTGTTTGGCTCTGGGCCTCCAGCGCCGGCTGCTGGCCCAGCATTTGGCACCAGTCAGCCACCAGCGTTTGGCCAGAGCCAAGGGTCCGGCCAGCCAAGCGCTCCAAGTTTTGGATCCCTGTCGACAACGTTGTTTTCAGCTGGCGCTCAGCCTGCTCCTCCTGCCTTCGGCTCCGTGACGAGCAGCACTCAGCCCTCTGTGTTCGGACAGCAAGTGGCGCAGCAGCCGGGGTTTGGCTCTGGTACCCCCAGTGCTGGTGAGTGCCAACCACCCTCTTCCCTTCTGGTCTCAAAGATGCTGTATTTTATTTGATTTTTCATGAAGAGCACCTTAAATTATATGGAGAAAGAAGACTTCTGCCTTGCGCATGTACTTAAGTGTAAGAATTACCCTCTGCAAAAATAATGGGTGCAGAGTTAAGTCATTTGTGACTCACTCGTGGCTGTGCAGGATGTGCCATAGGCAGGCCAGCTCCACAGGAAGCCTTCCCCACAAGAAACTTAGCAGACACAGAGGTCACAGCTCAACCATTAAATACAGGGGTTTGTTTCCCTGAGAAATCTAGTGATTAAAAGGAAGTGTTGAGAGCCATGGAGTATTCACTGCTAAGATTGGCAGATGCACCACAAAATTACTGGGTTTGGATTTGTTAAAGTAGTTCTTAGTTAGACTTCATTAACAGACTTTCACAATTTATTTGGATTGGGGCTTTGTTGTGTAAGGATATGGTTGGGATCATTTTTAAGCACTTACAGGTTAAGACTTTAAATAAAGTTCTTTTTTGGGAATGGGGCAGAGTGATCCTTGTAATTTAAGAAAGCCCTGTTCCACACTAGTAATTTTTCAAAAAGAAAAACCCACTGCCAGAGTGTATGTATTTGATACTGTCATGTCAAAAACTTGAAAGGAAAAGCCTCCTTTTTTTCCCCTTTCAGAAGTTTTACAAAATGGCCTCCATTATAAGGAAGTGATTCTGTTGTACTAACGAGAACATTAGTTGGCACACCATATCACTCAGCCGGTCTTCCCTTAATCGGGGAGCAGTTGAAAGATAAAAATCTCCCGGGATTCTCTTGTGTTGCTTATCAGTTACTTTGATGGTAGGAACTTTACGGGTATTTTTTAAGATGAGCTGCAGTGTTAGCACATTAAAGGAAGGGGAGTCCCAGCACAGACTGCATGAATGCAGGAAAGTTTACGTAAATATAAATCTAGACAATTCCATGCTATAATTTAAGACTTCATGAATAAGCTTCAATATGCACAGGTCTAAAAGAAATGGTTGTACAGAAGGCAGCAAACAATCAGTGCGCCAGCAGCGTTACTCGAAGAATCGCTTTACGATTCTCCATTAAAATGGATGAATTCTTCCATGTGCTGTTCCTGTAGTGATGGGGCACTTCTGGGGCACCCCCTGCCCCAGCTTTGTCATCGGGAGCGACCTGTAGAAAATACTGATTCGAGATAGTGGGACGAATGTGTGGATTTTGCTGGAAAGGATGAACTCCCATTTCAACTTTCTTTCTCCCTTCTGTTTCCACCCCATCTTCCCAGGTCCTGTATTCCAGTTTGGAAGTAATACTTCTAATTTCAACTTCCCAAATAACCCAGGAGTATTTACTTTTGGTGCGAATCCTCCTGCACCAGCAGCACCGGCACAGCCTTCCGGCTCGTCAGGATTTTCGTTCAGCCAGCCTCCAGCTTTTACAGTGGGGTAAGAGACCATATCACAATTTCACTTGAGCTTCGGGTAATAGTGGTGGCCAGCGTTCAGCCCCTGCTGCTGTAGATCATGAGGTGTTCAGATGAACCCTGGAGTCTGAGACCAAGCTTGGGCATCCTTCCTTGTAGTAGCCTGACCGGCTCACTGAGCAGCGCTATCTTGAAAAGAGTCAGGAATATCACACACGCGCAACATATGTGTAACTGTCTTGTTGAAAGGGAAAGTCTGTATCTAGCCCTTACGCTGCTACTTACCTTCTGAATAAGAGATTTAATTGGCTTTGGTTTCTGGAACCCTCTTCCTCCTGTTCATCATAAGCCATTTGTTGCCAGCTGCTAACAAGGGAGACAAGACTATGAAACGGTTGTTCTGGAATATCTGCTCAGTGCTGCTACTGAGTTTTCAGCTACACTGTCCTAAACTCTGAACTACTAATTTCTTTTGATAGGACTAACGGGAAAAACATTTTCTCTGCCTCTGGATCTTCAGTGTCTGGTCGGAAGATAAAGACTGCAGTTAGACGTAGAAAATAACCGCCCGATTGGTAAAGCAAGTTCCGAAGCAGCTACTACCCTGCATTGTTCAGTTTTTGGGATCGTACCTCATGCTGGGTTAGCTGAAGACAGATCTGCCTAGAGGAATATAGAACTCTGCTGCCCTTTCCTTCCCTCCCCTCTCCCCAGTTAGGTTTTTTTTTTGGTAACGAATAGAGTTGGCAACGGGGCCGTTCTCGAGCAAAACTATTTTAGACTCCAGCAAGTTCCTTCTTTCACTGACTCGGCATGGTCTGGCTGTAGCCGTGAGTAGAGCCTGCACAGTGAATGGCTTGTACAATACCTCTTCATCTGCACCACTATGTGCGCTCATCTGCGTTTACTGACGCCTCGACATTGTAATTATATCAGCGAGGGATGCTGTATAGAGTAGAGAATGTTGATAACGAATGATTTCTATGCTGAGTTTGTGCCGGTGTATGTGTGAAGTGAGTGAGTTTGGGTGTATTGTGCACTAAAATTTTCTGATAGAGGAAGACTGATTAAAGGATGATCCATGCTAAGGACTTGTTAGATCTGTAGTTCTTCATTTAATAATTATATGCTATTTCTATATTTTCATTCTTACAGCCCTTTATCACCTGTCTCGCCTTTGTTATTTTATTATGAAACATGTGTAAATACAATTTTGTTTCTCTATGTACTTTTTTGGCATAACAGATCTGTGAAATGGAAATTTTAATTTTGTGTGTTACGGCCATTTTTGTTTAGTATTGTCTCAGATTTTATGTAAATCCCATTATTCAAAGTTGCCTAAATCCATTTAGAAAATCTTTAAAATTGGGAATTCTTAAAGTAAGTTTATTGGCTTTTCTGATCCATTTTTGTTTGGACCAAAAACCAGTATTGTACAAAGTATTAAGTATATATTTTTATATTTACTGAAATGGACTGTGGTGACTTTGGATAATAAGGAAAAGTTTAATATTAAAGCCATGTTTATTACAGTATAATTAACATGTTAAACCATGGGATAAATGCCATCAATAAAAACTATGAAATATTGTCTGGCAGTTTTTAACTCTCTAACAGCAGCTGCAGCTGTAACTGTCTCCGGTTCCACCTAAGCAATGGCACATGCTTTCTCCAACCTCTGCTTTTTGACAGTGAAACTGATTTTAAGGGATCTTAAATTAGTTGGAGGTTTCCTGTTTGGAAGGAGTTTTATTGTTGGCTCCAAGCTTGTCAGCTTTTAAGAAGTGAATGTTACCAACATTCCCCACCATTCTAATTGAAGAAGGAAAAAGACGCCCAATTGTCAATGAGTAATTAGGGGGTTTCCACAGTTGAACTTCTTGTATTAAGCCACAGCATTTGGTTTATGGCTGAGAACAGCTTCCTTGCTACAGCTAGAACAGAAAGGACCTGCATAATAACTACATCAGGCTTCAGTGCTTTCTGAGGCATGGCTGGGGTTTTGCTGGCACTTCTGCCCCTTGCTGCTTAGCACTCTACAGGTACAGGTGCCAGTGTTACAAAATGAGATACTTTTCTAATCACAAACTAGACCTGACAAGAGTCATCGAGTTCTGTTTTCATGTGTAGAGCTCCAAACACTACATCTAGAAATAATAGAAAATATTTGGCAACCAGACCCATGAGCTGCTGCTGAGGCACTCACATCCTGCTGCTGTAGCTGGAGTGTGAGCAATTACGTATTTCTGGATGTCCAAGTTTGTTTCTTTCCTTAGCTCTATCACCTGCCAAGGACTTGTCCTACAACCAGAAAAAAGTTGCATTTTCAGCACAACCTGTGAAGCATTTACAACAGCATAATGTGTACGGATTTCCATGGGCAAGCTCTCCCAGTTTTTCATTACCTGCTGTGGAAGGGGGGGGCGCTACTTTCCTGCAGGGTAAGAGAAATGTCCCCTTATACCTGAATTGGGAACAGTGAAGTTTTTAGCCACCAGTGTTCCTTTTTCCCCTTCCTCCCCCCTGTCTTGAATCCTGATTTCTAGGGCACTGCTATGGTAAACAGAACAACAGTTCCAGTATTCATCCTGGAATTGTAAATAGGCAAATCTCACCCTAGAGGGGACTTCACTGTGTTCTGACAGCTTCAGCTGCTGTGAGGCCATTGCCATGCCTGGACTTGTCACATCAGTGCTTAAGTCAGTGGTGCAATTCTTTGAGAGAACACCTGAGTGGTGGTATTGAAGTTGTGTTTCAGCTAAACATCATCACCTTGGGTGGTCCAGCCACTCCAGCAGGGTGCTTGATCATGCCTGCTTGTTGCCATTTATTACTTAGATTTTTTTATCTCGGTGATGTAGGTCAGTAACATTGCTCCGATGCTCATGGTACGTTTAAGAGGCCAACAGTAACCATCAAATTGATGAGAGATTTTGATACAAATAGTGCCTGATTAAGTTCCACTGTTAAGCAGTGGATCTGGTCCTGAACCACTACTGTAAATGAAGGTCAGATGTATGCACAGAACATTACCTTCATACACAGAACACCACCACTCATCCAACTAAAAACACTGCAGAACATTAATATGTTGCTGATCAAGTTATTTCACCTGAAGACAAGAGAGAAGCTCTCAAATAGTTCTGTTGTCAACCAACCACTGCCCAAAGACAAAAAGTAGAGCGAGAACTTCAGCCACTGAGTGGCAAGTTATGCCTGAAGAACACACAAAAACTAAGGTCTAGAAGAATTCCAAACTCTTACTTAAGTTTTTATAGCACATTAACATTACTGCTTATATTCCTTTCCCAAGATACTGATAAGAATAAACAGATTACCAAAGCTACGTAACCATGCAAAATATTAGGCTTCTTTATTCAGTGTTTAAGTTATTCTGAATATACAAACAATTAGCCAGAATTAAAAAGTGAAAATAACAAGTAGATGTACTTCCAGAGATTTACACCCATAACACATTGCAGTTAATGCTTTCTGCATGCTCCCGAAACAGGCTCAGTGGTTTTGCTTGGTATTATACGCAAGAAATAGGCCAGTGCTTTCACTCCAAATAGAAGCAACAGAGTTACCTTCCATTAGCATCATCTGTACATAGCTCCAAAAGTATTTACACGCACTGATTCACTAACACTGCAGTGTAACATATGCTTCCCAGAGTAAAAGCAGCTCATATTTCACCTCTTTATTAGCTTCGACATGTGAAATAAGTGACAATGCTTGAGACATCATGCAAAAATCTTCTCACATCAATGTTCTGGTGAAATACTTAAAAGAGGTGAGGGAATATGATCTGTGATGCAATAAGGAGGGACATGACAACCACTACTCATTTCTCTCTACACACACAGCAATTTAATTAGTATGTTTTGCTGTCTAATACTGTAGTACTCTTCCCCTCAGAGTTTATCGTATGACTTGGGCAACTGCTTGGAATTTCTAGTTACCTGCCAACATCCGAAACTGTAGGAGCAAGATTTCTGTTAAGTTGGAGTATTTCTAGTTATCTGCTTTCCACAGGCCGATGAACAAACAGCTCCTTCCTGCAGTTAATACAGCCACTTGCTTCCTCGTCAGTCAGAGGTTAATACTCCCAGATTGAATACATATTGTTTCTCCTAAAATTCTTTGGCGTGTATGAAAACTCCAATACTTTAAAGGTAGCTGCTGGCATCACACCGGAGCAAAACATTTTCTTTAGCTTCTGAATCAGTTCCCATTTAATTTGGTCAAAAGATTGACAGATGCCTTGATTTCAGTTTTGGGGTAGGTCTTAGTTTACTGGGGTGGGAGGGGATGTTCAAAACCAGTCTGGAAAACTCATCGTTTGGTATCATCTGACTCCATTTCGTCTTACCACAATAGTTCCTGCTACAATATCATAGGCTGTTCTGTTATGCTGGAAAAACAGCAGTGTAATGAATGCAGGGAAAAATGAAGCAATAGAAAAATTCTTGATCAAAGCTCGTATTGTGGACCTGAAATGAGAATAAAACATTCAGTGCCTTATTTTCACTTTTCTGCTTGTATTAGTAGTTAGTTTACTTTCAAGTCTGGTGTCTCAGTTTTGCACAGCACAAAAAGATAAGGAAAAAAAACCCAAAAAACCCTCCAGAGTTTAGAGATTTTAACACCTGACCTGAAAAAATATTAATGTGATTGAATAATTGTTATCTTATTTTCAGATGACAGAATCTAACAATAGCTCTTGCAGTAACTAACCCCAAAGAAATGGTGCATTTCCTTCCAAATGACACACTTCCCACACTATTAACCTGAAAGGAATGTGACTGAGGTAGGAGCACTTACGTTGTCATGCTGACATTTGAAGATGGAATGACAAGCACACGGCTGGGTGCAATAAGTACAGATGTATCACATGTCACAACGCGCAGTCCAAGCAAGAACTTCCCTGGGGTTGCTCCACCTGCTCCCCAAATACAGATTATCTGGAAAAGAGAAGTCATTTTGATTGGTCTAGCAAACTTGGTTATCCTCAAAACCATGGGAATGTCTCAAGCTTCAACATAATATGAAATAGTGTAAAGAGGATTAACTTTATAGGCCAATGGGCATAGATTTTTTTTTTTAAACATTTATTCACAGCTGACAACTCTGAATTATAGAAGTTAATGTTCATGAGTAGTTACCTCATAGAAGCAGACTAATAACCTGTAGATGAGAGCTACTACCATCATCTTCTGCAAATCTTCCATGGATGTATCTTCATCTATTTCTTCTATGATGTAATGCATGGCAAATTTGGAGATGTCCCTGTACAAAATAAGACCAAACTTTAAAACCATCCTTCTCCCAGTACCAACAGTACCTCTTTAATACTGGAACTCACTGCTTCAGCTTTGGTATTAGTAAAGAACAAAAGCTCCTTAGCCTGCCTGATGCTAAACAAGCCATTAAAATTCAGAACACTATGTCTCCTCCCGAGCTGCTGCTGCCTGGTTTGGTTGGTCTATCCCATTACGAAAAGCTCATTCTTCATTGCCACTGTTGCACGCTGGTGTCCCTGGGTAGCAAGCTGCAGAATTGTTCTGGGAACTCTCACACTTCTTGGGAGATAAACGAGAGGTTCAGTGTGTGCTCATCTAACTCAGTATAAATGGAAGGCAGCCAAGTCTCCCTTACAGGAGCTCTTAAGGAAAAAGGCCGCACTCTTCTCCATAAAGGAAAGGGAGAAGTTGCAGGTCTCCCTAAGCAAGCAAGGGAGACCCATCCTCCCTCACATGATCAGTGTTTCTCATTCTCAGCAGCCTATTGCTCACTGTACTCTCCCAGAGGCGGGCACCTCGGCACACAAGAGGAAGTTTTTAATTTAAAGCAATTGAAATCTTCAGTTCTTTACCCAAAGAAAGCTATGCAAAGCATCAAATCTGAATCAATTCCTTATTTTCACAAGATAAACTCCGCAGATTAACATTCTTATCTGACACAGAGAGTGGACACACTGGCGCCATGTGTTTAGGCAAGAACTTTTCACTCACACACCTACATGAGAATTGCTACTCACACAGAAAATGCGGAGTCCCACTTCAAAACAGTCCATCTAGATTTGTATTACTTGCCTTCCTCTTTATTCAGACTTATGGATCAAAAAAGATACGGAATTAAGACAACAGTGCAGTACAACCTGCATTTCCCTTCAACACAACCTTGGCCTGAAGTCTCTATCTTGAGCCTGTGAGGACTTCTTTTTTCAGGATGACTCCTCAGTCTAAGCTCAAGCACACCAAATCTCACAAGCCAAGACAGACCCAACTAAACACACACACACACACAGACAGTGGTTCTCTGAAGTTATCTGGCTCTGGGAAAAGTAGCAATATTGAATACACTGTAATTTTAATTAAAGATGATTCCCGCTCTTTCCATTACTTTCACTACTTTACAGAAACACATATTCCCCATCTTTCCACTATTCCACTTTGTACAACTAAGCCTACTGAAAACAAAACGGAAACGTAAACTGCCAGGTTAGACTTGGAGGTTTTGGTAACTAAACAGAACTGAGAGTAATGGAATTGCTGCCTAAACTAAGCTCTTGTCTCTTAATCAGAACAAAATATTTGATTACACCAAAACAGAGGAACTAAATGAGGTGCAAAATAAGATACCTACAGTTAGAGCAGCAGATAAAAGAGAAACAGCCTTTGAGGTAAATGCTTACCTCTGAGTATAAAAATGTAAATTAAGACTCTTTCAGCCTAGTATGTAATCGATACACTCGGTGCCCAATTGTACTTTAAGATCCTCAACTTATGCCCAGTCAGGAGTGCAGCACGGCAGTATCCCAAGCACTCAGGCTGTGTTTTAAAAGTACACCCATAGCTGACACACAGGATCTGAATTTTTCTTTGTTGTGAGTTAGCACTGTTTTAGTCCCCAATTTAAAACATGGCACCCCAGGAAATGCTATGAAGAAAATTAACTCCATCCCAACCAGATCCCATTTTTAAAGGCTGTTAAAAAAACCCCAAAGCTAAGTTTGTATTTGTCTATGTTTTTTCTTTGACACTTTCAAAGGACATCTTAAAAATCTTGCTGTTGCCCCACAGAAGTCAGAGTGTAAGTCTGAACTATCCTTGGTAAGGAGCTTGTGAGCCTGTGAAGACACCTCTACAAATTCTGTTTCCATCAGCTGACCCCAAACCACAAAGCATTTAAAAGGAGGCTAACCCAGTAGTGCTTTTTCCTCAGCTTTTGAGAGTTATTAAGTGCCATCAATTGCATAAGCACCCCATACACACTACACGACACCCCAAAGAGCATGAAGAGCTTAAAGCTATATACAGCAAAGCTTTAAACTGTTCAACTTACTTTATTCCACTGAGGTGCATAATACTTAAAACAATGGTTGCTTTTATGAAGAACAGAATAAAGAAATCCACCATCTCTGCTATGAACCTGTGTGCCAACGAGGGGATGATGAACTCCCGACCTGTAACAGAAACAGTCAACATTACCCACGTTTTCCTGCACTAACATAAAGTTAACATAATCATCTAAAAAACATTTCACATCACCCTCACTGCAAGAACATAATCAAGATCTTCACCTCAGTTCACGTCATTTTCAAGAAAACTTCTAAAAGTGCATGAACAACAAATGATCTGAATTGTTTGTATTAAGTTATAAGAACCTGCTCAAATGAAACTCTTTCAGAGTGCTGACTCCCCTCATAATCAGGACTACAGGCAAAATCCCACCCCCTCTACAGAACCGGAGTACACTGACTATGCGTCAACTTTCGTGTTCTTTTGTTTAGTTCAGCCTCACAGAGATTGGATTTCAGTAAATGCGAGATTTCAGAGAAAAGAAAAATTAGGTCTTAGATGTACCACAACTTTTCTATCGCTCAGCAGCAAGGCTTCCATATGTACCAAGTATCAGCTCTCTGAAAGCATAACAGCCTAATCTGCCTACAGTCAGACCCAGGAACAGCAGCAGGTGAAAATATTAGTCATAGTTGCCATAAACATACCTACACACCACTGATTCTAATAAAACACAACATGCTGCCCTACCCTGAGCCAGAAAATGGAACACACTTCTTCTAGTTCATTGGCCAAGTGCAAATGGACTCAAAGTCACAGTTACAAGCATTTGTTGCTAATGCTGTCTCAAGTGATTAAAATGAAGAAAACCTTAAAGAGGATCTTAGAAAGTTTCCAAGGAACAGCACTGCAAAATAACTTCTCCTGGATCCATCTACTCATCTATTTCCCAAAGGACAAACATAACTCTTGCATGAAACCAGCAAGGACCCACATCAAAACTTCATTTAGAAATGAATACTCAAGTACTACTAGATGTAACCTATGGAAAATAGTGGCTGGGTTTGTTAGCGTTTCTGAGAATGCCTACCCACACACACAGGGACAGGAAAGAAGGAAACAAAATTGTTCCTTCCTCCAATCTCAAAAAACATCATCAAATTTCACTTAGAACAAGCCTCCACAGTGCAACTGCTGAGAAGAACAAGCCTCCACAGTGCAGCTACTGAGACTGATACTGCCAGTCGTGGCCTCACAAGCTATGCAAGCAAAGCTGAAAGTCCAGGGCACTTGAGGGCACTTTTGAAATGGAGTAAGTATAATCAAGCCATAATTAGGTAAGAGTAAGTTCTTATTTAACATACTTTGGTTGTTATATATCCAAATCAATAGATATTTCACATATTTATTTGTTTCATACCTCTTTCACTTACAGCTCTGCATCAATACTACCAAGTAGCACAACTGTTACATATGTAATACCAAAATGGATTCAATTCTCATTGTTGAAGTATGTCCAAGTTGTCAGTTAAATTCTAATTAAGGACTCTTCAACTAAAGCAGAAGGGACCAGTCTTCCCATTCCAGCTTGAGCACACAGCACCAGATAAAAGCATTCTTGTGCTGTCAAAAGCAGCAAGTTTGTTGAAGTTAGTGGCACAGTTTCATGTCAATATATTAGATCCAATGACTGAATAAGGAAGAAGTTCAGTGGGGATAAGAAAAAGAAGTATTCAAGTTATGTTGGACTCCGCTACAGTAAGAATCCTTGCCAACCCTTGAGACTCTGGCAGATTTGCACTGCAGTGATTTGAGGTGTTCCTTGTATCAGAAATCCACTATTTTGCCAGGGGTTACTATTGGTATGGCAGGGACAGCCAAATGCTACGTGCTTCCATCTCTGCTCAAAGTCTCAGATTTTACATTAAGCTACTAATAAAGTCGGGTTTGCACCAGTCAGCACAGGGCAGCTGAGCCTTGGACTCACTTTTTGCCCTGCTGCTCCCAGCAGAAGAGCAATAATCTCCTGCAGTAAGCAGGGAGGGGCAAAGGGAGGCAGCGTCTTAAAATCACAATCAACGTCCACAAGAAACCTGCTACTGCCCAGAGTGCTGTTAATACTGGTGCTCTGACACGCACCCGCTGGCAGATCAAACTGGAAGAGGCAGTTACCGAACCCACTTTCTGACATCCGAGTTTAAAACCTGCAACAGTAACATAAGCTGTCACTATTCCAGCTTACATAAGCACACGGGGCTGTGAACTGCAGTGGTGTAGGCACGGGTCTGTGACCTGCCCTGCCGAGCCTGCTGTGCAGGCAGTAATCTGCAGCAGAAGAGAAGGAGCTGTAATCGCTTTATCTGTTCCAGACACATCCATCTGCAATCCGGAGCCAAAGCACCGGCACGTCAATTTATTTACAATTGTATTGTATCACTGTATCACCTACAGAGCTCCCTTAAGAAGGTGTTGCAACAGTACTCAGCATCCAGAATAACCATGTTCAGCAGCGTGCAGTGCTACTCATGCCCTAAATTATCTCTAATATGTGGAATTGGTTCCTGAAGAACTAGGTAAAACCCAAAGAATCATTTCAGTCTAGCTGTTGTTTGTATCCTCTTTTTCAATGACTGGCAATATCTGTTTATAAGCAATCTACAACTCAGAATCTGAGCACAATTAGGGAAAATACTTTGTGCTATAACCTTGTTTAAACAACATTTGCTCACAACCACATTAAAAAAAAAAAAAGTTAGTTTAGAAGCCAGATTCCCTTCAAAATAAAGAAAAAGCAATTAAAAATGTTCTCCCCACACACCCAGCCACTGTGCTTGTAAAAACGTTACAGATCAGCAATGCTGCACTTTGCCCTGCAGATAGAAAGGAGACCTGGCTTTTCTCCAATGTCCTTCAGCAGCACCCTGCTCCACTGTTTTCTACCATTCAAGGTGCTACCAAACGCTCAGGGAATGTCACCTAGGAGCTCCTTGAAGAAATGTTTGTGGTTCAGACTTTATCTGTGGTGTGATCAGAGCAAGTCCTGTCTTATCCTCGAAAAACTATAAACAGAAACACTGCTATGCATTGTCTTTAGCATTTATAACACCAACAGACTTGTGTTTATCTCGGGTCCTCCCACTACCTTGGTCAATATATTTATTTTTCTGCTTCAGTTTTATTAAATGATTGTATTCCAGCACCAAGAGCCCACTAAAACTGGAAACCTATATTTCATCATCCAAACGGGCTGCTTCTAAAGCAAGACGCATTAAGTCTGTGACCACAAGAACAAGTTTCACTGGAAAGAATAAACTCCTTCACATCCATAGAAACACCTTACAAGCACTAAAATTACAGGCTGTACACTCAAGCCAACCCTCCCAAACCTGCGTATGGATTAAGTTCTCGAAGTCGGTATTGGGGCTGTCACCTTTCACAAGGCACAGCGACATTCTCAGCTCGGCAGCCCACAGAAGCGCAGCGACCCGCAACGTTGCCACCTCTCCCCCCCGCCCCCTTCT